ACCTGCAATAATTAAATGTTAAACAACACAAATATCCTTTATGTATTTAATCCCGATCTATTAACCAATGTCTTCGATGATCCAGTTCAACCGTACTAATAAGCACAAATTACTCTAGACAAACATTTGTGTTTTTCTTTGTTTATTGCTGAAGTGTGTTGAAATGTCTTCTTCTGCATTCTACTGTACGGACGTAAATGTACTTTCCCTTCAGCCTGAGGCTGATTCATTTCACTTTTGATGTGAAAAGGCTTTTATATTTAACAAAAATATAACTTTTTTATTTTAAAAACAAACAAGCAAGCCCTGTCCAGATTTAAAAAGTAACGTAACGCATTACTTTCCATAAAAAGTAACTAAGTAACGTAATTAGTTACTTTATGGAGTAATGCAATATTGTAACGCATTACTTTTAAAAGTAACTTTCCCCAACACTGTATATATGCATAGAGAGAGAGATTAAATATAATATTTAGGAAGACATTTTAAGATTAAATAAGGTAATATAAATGCATTGAGAAATTAAATTAAATGTAATTAAATTTATTGATGTTAGCATAAGTATTGGGACAGTTGAACTTAAGGCAGATGTAAAAGATTAAAAGCTATTATTCAGTTGCAGATCTCTTGCGTGCAATCAGAGCAGTGAGTCTGCAACCCATAGACATCACCAGACACTTGGTCTCATCCTTTGAAATGCTTTTCCCAGCCTTTAATGCAGCCAGTTCCAACTGTTGCTTGTTTTGGGGAGTTTATGCCTTTAGTCTGCTTTCTGATGAGTCTGGTGGCATTTTCTTGGTAGCCAAGATGGTTTTGTACCCTTCCGAATTCATTCTGCTACTGTCATCAAACATTAAGTCATCATTAAAATTGAGAGGGCCTGTTCCAGAGACAGCCATGCATGCCCATGCCATGACACCACCTCCACCATGCTTTACAGACGAGGCTGTATGCTTAGGATCATTTGCAGTTCCCTTTTTCTCCACACTTTTGCTTTCCCATCTCTTAGATAAAGGTTAAACTTTGTCTCATCTGTCCATAAAACTCTGTTCCAAAACTCTACTGGCTTTTGCAAACTCTAATCTTGCCTTTCTATTCTTGGTGCTTGTCAAAGGTTTGCATCTTGCTGTGTAGCCTCTGTAATTCTGTGTCAAAGTCTCCTGCGGACAGTAGATTGTCAGCTTTCTGAAGGTTGTTGGTGATTTCACAGACACGTATTTTAGGGTTCATTTTCACAGCTTTTATGATTTGTCTGTCATCAACTACTGCAGTTTTTCTCAGCCGATCAGGTCGTTGTTGGTTGCTGATGTCGCCGGTGGTTTCCAAACTCTTGATTTCTCCATGCCCTTTGTTTTTGCTATAGCTCTAATTGACTTCCTCTTTTCTTTTAGCAGCCAAACTGCTTGCTTTTCTCTCAAAGTCAGCTCCGTCGTCTTCATCCTGGTTTGTGTGTGTCGTCATCGAATGCAAGACTCAGAATGCAGAAGCAATTGATATAACTGATACGACACATTCCCTGCTTTTAATATCTTAAGAATTAATGCAACAGGACACAGCTGATCACTTAGAAAGACCTGAGCCAACTGTTCCAATACTTATGCTCACATCAGCTAGTGGGATGAAAAAAGTGCTAAAAGTGCTGATCTTCTTAGCTGGTAAAACATCTATGTGTTGAATCACCCAACAACAAAATGTGACATTCTGTAGTTTTGTCTCATATTCATCTTTCAATCATATTTACAGATTTCTTGACTCCACAGCAAACAGAACAATTTTGTCTTTACTGTCCCAATACTTATGGAGGGCACTGTGTGTATGTATATATATATATATCTATATATCTAACCTAACCCTAACCATATATATATATACAGTGCTGTGAAAAGGGTTTTGCCCCCTTCCTGTTTTTTTATTTTTTGCATATTTGTCACACTTAAAAGATTCAGATCATCAAACAAATTACACATCAAACAATTAAGTAGTATTACACAAAGATAATGCAAGTAAATACAAAATGCAGTTTTTAAATAATGATTTCATTTATTAAGGGAAAACACTGTCCAGACCCACCTGGCTCTATGTGAAAAATTAATTGCCCCCTCCTGTTAAATCATGAAAAAACTGTGATTACCACTTTATTTTATAAAGCGAAGTTAAACTTCACTAGCCACACCCAGGCCTGATTACTGCCAGACCTGTTGAATCAAGACATCACTTAAATAGAACCTGTCTGACAAAGTGAAGCATGCTTAAATAGCAACACATCATGCCACGCTATAAAGAAATTCGAGAACACATGAGAAACAAAATAGTTGACGTGTATCAGTCTGGAAAGGATTATAACAGGCTCGTCTCACATTTGCCAAAAAACATCTTAATTATCCCCAAGACTTTTGGGCAAATATTCTGTGGACTGATGAGACAAAAGTTGAACTTATTGGAAGGTGTGTGTCCAGTTAGATCTGGCCTAAAACAACATTTCATTTCTGAAAAATCCAGA